ATTTGCGAAAGACATCTCGGCTTTCGTCAGCAAAAGCGAGAGGGCTGGACTGCACCCCCTACTGAAGCTGTCCCTCAAGCGCCTCGAGGCGGCACCGAGGCGGCACGAATCACGCAGCCTCTCCGCGGGGGAAGAGGACTTGGTGTTCGGGCCGATGTGGCTTGAGAGGAAGGAGGAAGGAGGAGGGAGGAGGAGGAAGGAGGAGGGAGGAGGTGGGAGGAGGTAGGAGGAGGAGGAGGAGGAGGAGGAGGAGGAGGAGGAGGAGGAGGAGGAGGAGGAGGAGGAGGAGGAGGGAGGAGGAGGAGGAGGAGGAGGAGGAGGAGGAGGAGGCGGAGGGGAATAGGAGAGGGATGAGGAGACCCTGCACCGCCCAGCGGCACAGCGCTCCCTTGAGGAGGAGTAGGATGAGGGGGCTGAGGTTTCGGAGGGGGAGGAGGACGACGAGGGACGTCGCAGGAGGGCGCGGGTAGGGAGGAAGTCAGACGAGTGCATGCGGATCGATAGGAAAATGGTTGCGAGGAAGAGGCGGCGGAGGATGAACACGAGGGCGGGAGTGGCAGGGAGAGGAGGAACACGTGGACGTGGCGGGCTGGTGCCGAGGAGTCAGAGTCGGAGCGAGGGCCAGATCAGGACCACGAGGATTGGGAGGATAGGCGTGGGGAGACTGTACAGCGGCCACGCAGGTATCTTGGCATCGCTCGGACGTGTGCACTTTTCCTTCGGCGAGGACCATCGAGGAGCATCCTTGATCATTTGGCGAAAAAACCACGCACGAAACCGAACAAAAACACAGGGAATGGACGTCCGAGCGATGGCCAGGTATGCAGGTCTGTGCTCGCGAGGAGCGGAATGGTGCACTCTGAGCGCTCCAACGGACGGCGTGCCATTTGGCAGGCCCTCGCGCTGTAGCGCACGTGCGAACGTCCCGAGGGCCAACACGGAGCCAACAGCGCCCTCCCTTTCGGGACCGCCCGACCGATGGGGAGATCGATCGCAGAGGCGACGGGTAGAGTCGGCCCAGATGAGTAGGTCGACCCTGCCAGCTCAAGGGTACCCTTGTGTCCTGTGCCTCGCGACGCATGCCTTCTTGCACTCCTATGGCGATGTGGCCCTCGGAAGGGTCTTGTGTCCTCTCGCGTGTCCTGTCCAATCAAGGCCGACTGTAGGGATTCCCTTTCCTGTTTTATCCCAGCGTTCATCAATCGTTTTGTCAGCTCAGCAACTTTCCAGAGTTTTTTTGTTCATCGTCGTCCTCCTTGCCCTCGCTCGGTATCAAAAGGCCTGGGGTCAACCGGGTCGTTGGCCTTACCTTTGCCACTTGCCTTCTGTCTTGTCACTTTCCTCCTCCATGTCCCTCATCCTCATTTTTCGTGCACGGGCTTTCTCCCCCAATCCCCGATTTCTGCACGAAAAGTTTGGGCCGCTCAGAAAAAGGGCGAACACTGGGATACACCCCAAGGGGCTCTTCGGACAGACCCCTGTCGAAGATGGACGCCCCCCCATCTTATAATCCAGGGGCTGTGCCCTAATCTCTGGTCCATTTGGCAGCCTCCCAAAACCTGGGATAAGGGTCGACATGCGGTCGGACCGAGGTATGAGATCGAGGTCGGTTCGGGGAGGGTACCCCAATATTCTTGCGCCTCCTGGGAGAGGGCACCCTCGCATGTTCTTCACTCCGGCTCTGG